CACTGGGGCTCTCAGACTGGAGGTGGGACAGTACTACAGTGTCCTGGAAAGTCTCATCAACATATCTCTCTACTTCCCTTAGCTCCTCCAGTTTATCCACCCTGGCCTCCAATGCCCAGACTCGGTCTCTGAAGGTCAGGAGCTCCTTGCAACGGGTGCACACATATGCCACCCGTCCACAGGGCAGGTAATCATACATGTTACACTCGACACAATAAACAGGATAGCCCCCACTCTGCTGCTGGGCTTCTGTCTCCATCTTTCTAATGAATAAGTTTAAGTATAAACTGGGATTCTTTTTAAACCTCTGGAATATAGATTATTCTAAGAGTTATGTTTTAAAGAAGGTCAGAAGTCACTAGTGCCCTCTAACCTCCCCCTTTAAACTCCCTCTCCAAACTCTCCTGTTAGCTGTTCCTGGTCGCAAGCTCTCTGGTCACTGAGTCACAGGCTTATATAGCTCTGGTAGCCCCTCCCCCTGACTGAGGCTCAGCCAATTAACAGAGGCTTCTAGATTTCAAACCTTTTAGAAGCTCCTTCAAACAAACAAACCAAACAAACAAACTCTTGTTTATTTGTTCTACTCTTGAAATACTCAGCAAAACCCATAACAGGGGTTTGTTCCCTCTCCTACTTAGATTTTATTTCCATAGGGCTCCCCAAAGCCATATACTGAGAATTAACAGTTCTAGGGATCGTGCATGATAAAGTGTATGTGTGTTCTCACAACCCAATCACTTACCATTCTCATCAAGTAAGTCTTCCTCGTCATCCCCATCATTGTCCTCCTCCATTGCCTCATCATCTTCCTCCTCCTCCTCTTCCATATCCTCCTGCTCCAAGTCTGGGTCCAGGTCTGGATCACTCCCTGAGATTGACTCGTCCGACATGATTCCCAGTGGTGCTCTTTGTGCATTACCTGCTCATGATCTGTTGCAAGGCAGCCCTGTAGAAGGACAAAAAATACCATTCAAGAAAAGCTCAGTCATGCAGAATTTCAATATAAGAGTCTCCCAAGTGCAGCCCATAAGAAGTTTGTGTGGTCCCATAATTTATCCCAGGCACTGAAATCCTGGTTCATATTTATCCCAGGCACTGAAATCCTCCCAGGAGAAAGAGTTAAGGACACAATCGTTCAAGAGGGAATGAGGAAGCCAGATTTACAGATCTTGCACGAGTTACTGCTACGCCCTGAAAAACTTAACCAATACTCAAAAATGAAGCAAAGCAGCCACGGTAAAAGAAAACTGAAAATGCATGCGTTCATTGTGGACTCTAATTATAACATACTGTCATTCCACTGTATTTATTATTACTTTTAATTATTAATCTTTCTTACTTTTGTAAGTTCTTCCGCTTGCTGGCTTCATGCCACCAATTCTTTCTTACAGCAATCGTAATGCTATCACTTTCTCTTTGGATTCCTCTTCAGTGTAGGTTTCCTCTTCCCCATCCTACCTCCTTCTTTATATTTTCAGTTGTTCTATACCAGTGGTGCCTAACCTATTTACCGTTGTGCCCTGCATACGTGGCTCTGTGGGTGTTATGTGGGCTGCAGCCACACAATATATATACTACCTGAGGATGCCACATGGCCCATAGCTGTGTGCTGATTGGGCAACAAGCAGCCTGCAGGCTACAGATTGAGAATTAGATTTCTCTTTTCTAATTTATACCATCAATTTCACCCTCTCCCTGATACACACTGAAACCATTCCCAGCTACTTTGGAAACCTAACCAGACCCCCAGGCCTGCTCTACACTAGGACCTTAGTCCAAAATTAGCCCCCCAAGGTTGAATTTGTAAGCGATGCATCCACACTACCAAGCCCATTATTCCAAAATAAGGGGCTATGGAATTCCAGCTCTGTTGTCCTGCTTTTCATAATGTTATTCCCAAACTTGTAAGTCCAAAATAACATTAGCGTGGATGCTGCAATACCATTAATTTGAGCTAACTGGCCTGATAACATTAGCGTGGATGCTGCAATACCATTAATCTGAACTAATTGGCCTGTGGGAGGCCTCCCACAGCTCCCCAGAGTGCTTTGTGGGGCTCTGAGTCTGAGGCGGCGTGTCCACATTAACAGAACCTGCGTCCACATTAATAGAGCCTCCCTCGGACTACATTCAATTCTTCCCTGTAGTTGAGGACACAGAACTTGGAATTTGTAAAATCAGGTGCCCAGAAGTCATTTAGTGTAGACATCTTCCCTGTAGTTGAGGACACAGAACTTGGAATTTGTAAAGTCAGGTGCCCAGAACTCATTTAGTGTAGACACGACCCCAGAGAATTAAACATATTATGCAAAGTATTATATGAAAGATGGGATCCAAAGACTGAAAGATGGGCTACCTCCAAACTGAGACCCTGATCTACTCACAACGAACTTTTCACATGTGCTTGCACCCATGGAGCAAAGTGAACAAATATGAAACAACATTAGTTCTCAACTTCTAAAAAGTAAGTCCTCTTAACTAGGCAAAATCATCTGTAGATAGAGTCACTCTGCTCCCCGATGTACAAGATGATGAAGGCTTAGAGCTCTGGAAGAAGTAGCAGAGGCTCAAATGACATTTCACATCTAATCACTCAAGCAAGAATCTGTCTGTGTGTGTGTGTGTGTGTGTGTGTGTGTGTGTGTATAAAAGATTTCCTGCGGGACGACAGAGTGACGTAATCATGTCATTCTGTGTCACCCTGCCCCGCTCCCCCACCCCAAGCCTCTGCAGAGTCAAAACGGGCAGCTATGGCTCCCTGTGCCCCCTCACCCTCCTCCCGGGATACCCGGGCTCCCCTCTGGCCTCTGGCTCCCCTGCAGGCAGGCCAGGGGGTGGCGCTGGCAGCC